TGTCTGACATGGACATGGATGTCAGCCGCAGCACCGTGCCTTCCTTTGCGGGTGGCACCCGAGTCTGCGTGACGGTGTCTTCCATTGCGGACGCTGCGGGGCTCCGGGCGGACATCGACCAAATCTTTCAGTGGACTGCGGAAAGCAATGTGAAGTTCAACGATGAGAAGTTTCAGTTGCTCCGATGTGGTGAACATGAGGAGGTTGAAACTTCAGAGTACAAAACAAATTCCTTCCACAAAATAGACCTGGTGTGGAAGTGTGAATTGCTCATTACTCTATAATTTGTTCATGATTGTAGCCATGTATAAACGTAAGTAACCATTCTTACAGGATTCATTACCTTTGTAACTTGTGAGTTCATTACCTTTGTACCTAGTTCAGCTATCAAAACTTTGGGGGCCCAGTCCCTGGACCCATTACGTACCTCTGTAATCTGTAAATACCTTTGTAGCTTGTCATGATTGTGACCAGACCTACCTGGAGTTCATTACCTTTGTAAATTGTGAGTTCATTACCTTTGTAAATTGTGAGTTCATTACCTTTGTAAATTGTGAGTTCATTACCTCTGCAACTTGCTCAGCTATCAAAACTTTGGAGTCCAGTCCCTGGACCAATTATGTACCTCTGTAATCTTTTGACTACCGCCCACAGGATGGGTATAGGGTGCATAATAAACATATTAAACTAACTAACGCAGCAGTGACTGTCCTGCCAGTGGCAAGGTCAGCAATAAAGTAGTGAACGGATTGGCTGCACATGTCAAAGCCTGTCATAGCATAAGCTAATTCAGAAAGAGGGTTAAAAGGTACTTAATGAATAAAGCTAAAGAAAGGGATGAGAGTAATTTCTTGTATAGATAACATTCATGTACCTATTACTGTAACATTCATGTACCTATTACTGTAACATTCATGTACCTATTACTGTAACATTCATGTACCTATTACTGTAACATTCATGTACTTAACTGTGATTTTATCCTCTATTTATTGTTAGTGTAAATAACTCAGTTTACCTTAATTCTGGTGTCTCCTTTTATTGTAGCTGTTAAGATTGTAACTGTTAAGATTTAATTAATAAGATATTACAAGGACTCCAATGGAAATAAGTCAGTTTGTCTAACTTTTTTGGGTTATCCTAGGCATCCTACATATATGCTGCTATGTATGACAATTTACTTAACTATTTATAAGTACCTATACCTGAATAAACGTATTTATTTTTTCACTGGATATTTTGCATATTTTACTAGGTATGATAATTGTACTTATATGTACCTGTACCTAAATACGTAAACAAGTAGGGTCACTGGTAGCTTTAAATATAAGTTAAATACATGAGTTAGTGGAGTTGGATTTGAATGGGACTTGCCAACGAGTTAATAGGGATATCAAAGCTTATTCCCAGGGTTGCATTGACAATGGGTAGGGCAGATATATTTGTTAGAAAGGTTGGGTTTGAGAAGGACCTGCCTAGTATGGGCCAGTAGACCTACTGCAGTGTTCCCGTAAAATTTATGTAGGAGAAACAAGGAGGAATCTTCCTACAAGCACGAAAAGTATGAAAGTGCATGTAAGCAAGGTGTCATCACAAATGTTTGTCTTGCACGGTCTAAGGTGAGACATGTGATGAACTGAAACACAGTAGAGATGATCTACACAGAATCCAACAATGACAGGCGCCACTGTTTTGAAGCATCTTTAATTGCTACTAACTATACCATAGAAGACAGCTTTAACAAAAACATCATCTCATTTTCCATCTGCCTGGAGAATATACAGAGAGCTGTCACTGCATGTATTACCTGGAGTTTACCTGGAGAGAGTTCCGGGGGTCAACGCCCCCGCGGCCCAGGAGGCCTGTGACCAGGCCTCCTGGTGGATCAGAGCCTGATCAACCAGGCTGTTACTGCTGGCTGCACGCAAACCAACGTACGAGCCACAGCCCGGCTGGTCAGGAACCGACTTTAGGTGCTTGTCCAGTGCCGGCTTGAAGACTGCCAGGGGTCTGTTGGTAATCCCCCTTATGTATGCTGGGAGGCAGTTGAACAGTCTCGGGCCCCTGACACTTATTGTATGGTCTCTTAACGTGCTAGTGACACCCCTGCTTTTCATTGGGTTGATGTTGCATCGTCTGGCAAGTCTTTTGCTTTCGTAGTGAGTGATTTTCGTGCGCAAATTCGGTACTAGTCCCTCTAGGATTTTCCAGGTGTATATAATCATGTATCTCTCCCACCTACGTTCCAGGGAATACAGGTTCAGGAACCTCAAGCACTCCCAGTAATTGAGGTGTTTTATCTCCGTTATGCGCGCCGTGAAGGTTCTCTGTACATTTTCTAGGTCAGCAATTTCACCTGCCTTGAAAGGTGCTGTTAGTGTGCAGCAATATTCCAGCCTAGATAGAACAAGTGACCTGAAGAGTGTCATCATGGGCTTGGCCTCCCTAGTTTTGAAGGTTCTCATTATCCATCCTGTCATTTTTCTAGCAGATGCGATTGATACAATGTTATGGTCCTTGAAGGTGAGATCCTCCGACATGATCACTCCCAGGTCTTTGACGTTGGTGTTTCGCTCTATTTTGTGGCCAGAATTTGTTTTGTACTCTGATGAAGATTTAATTTCCTCGTGTTTACCATATCTGAGTAATTGAAATTTCTCATCGTTAAACTTCATATTGCTTTCTGCAGCCTACTGAAAGATTTGGTTGATGTCCGCCTGGAGCCTTGCAGTGTCTGCAATGGAAGACACTGTCATGCAGATTCGGGTGTCATCTGCAAAGGAAGACATGGTGCTGTGGCTGACATCTTTGTTTATGTCAGATATGAGGATGAGGAACAAGATGGGAGCGAGTACTGTGCCTTGTAGAACAGAGCTTTTCACCGTAGCTGCCTCGGACTTTACTCTGTTGACTACTACTCTCTGTGTACTGTTAGTGAGGAAATTATAGATCCATCGACCGACTTTTCCTGTTATTCCTTTAGCACGCATTTTGTGCGCTATTACGCCATGGTCACACTTGTCGAAGGCTTTTGCAAAGTCTGTATATATTACATCTGCATTCTTTTTGTCTTCTAGTGCATCTAGGACCTTGTCGTAGTGATCCAATAGTTGAGACAGACAGGAGCGACCTGTTCTAAACCCATGTTGCCCTGGGTTGTGTAACTGATGGGTTTCTAGATGGGTGGTGATCTTGCTTCTTAGGACCCTTTCAAAGATTTTTATGATATGGGATGTTAGTGCTATCGGTCTGTAGTTCTTTGCTGTTGCTTTACTGCCCCCTTTGTGGAGTGGGGCTATGTCTGTTGTTTTTAGTAACTGTGGGACGACCCCCGTGTCCATGCTCCCTCTCCATAGGATGGTAAAGGCTCGTGATAGGGGCTTCTTTCAGTTCTTGATGAACACGGAGTTCCATGAGTCTGGCCCTGGGGCAGAGTGCATGGGCATGTCATTTATCGCCTGTTCGAAGTCATTTGGCGTCAGGATAACATCGGATAGGCTTGTGTTAACCAAATTCTGTGGCTCTCTCATAAAAAAATCATTTTAATCTTCGACTCTCAGTCTGGTTAGCGGCTTGCTAAAAACTGAGTCATATTGGGACTTGAGTAGCTCACTCATTTCCTTGCTGTCATCTGTGTAGGACCCATCTTGTTTAAGTAGGGGCCCTAATACTGGACGTTGTTCTCGACTTTGATTTGGCATAGGAGAAGAAATACTTTGGGTTTCTTTCGATTTCATTTATGGCTTTTAGTTCTTCCCGCGATTCCTGACTCCTATAAGATTCCTTTAGCTTAAGTTCGATGCTTGCTATTTCTCTAAATTACCTAAATTACCTAAATTACTGAGAACATTTGAAGTCCCTTGACCTGTATTTCTTGGAACGCAGGTGAGAAAGATACATGATAATACGCACTTTGAAAATCTTAGTTCCAAATCTGCACACAGAAATCACTCCTTACGAAAGCAAAAGACTCGTCAGGCGGTGAAACATCCCCCTAATGAAAAACACTGGCGCCACGAGTACGCTAAGAGACAACATAGTAAGTGTCAGGGGTCCAAGACTGTTCAACTGCCTCCCATCTTATATAAAGGGGATTACCAATAGACCCCTGGCTGTTTTCAAGAGGGAGCTGCACCTAAAGTCAGCCCCTGACCAGCCAGGCTGTGGTTCGTACGTTGGCTTGCGTGTGGCTAGTAAGTAAGTTTAGTCAGGTATACACAAATACAGTTACATAGAATTATCATACATAGCAGCATATGTGTAGAGAACCTAGGATAACCCAAAAAAGTCAGACAGAGTGACTTATTTCTATTGGGGTCCTTTTACCTTATTATTATAATATAAAGGTTATAATATTTTCTTATTATTCTACAATGAAGATAACATCTTATTATCATACTAAAAAGACTATCTACTACACGAGGGTCATTAAGACTATCTACAATACGAGGGTCATTACTAGGAATAAGGCAAAATTTACACGTATGTTAGCTAAAAAACAGAAAATCATTCCCCTCCCTTTCTGTAGCTACATTCATCAGACACCTCTTGGCAGTCTTCTTGAACTGGTTCATGTATGACTGGCCTTGACATGTGCAGGCAGTCTGTTCCATTCCTTTATTGTTGTACAATAAAAGGTGTTTGAAGCCTAGCCAATGACTGTGGGTACTACAAAGTTGTGCTCCCTCCCCCTAGCAGTAACAGCCTGGTTAATCAGACCCTGATCCACCACGAGGCCTGGTCATGGACCGGGTCGAGGGGGCGTTGACCTTCAGAATGCCGTCCAGGTTCATTCATATTGCGTGTCTCATTATACCTTGTATAAGACTCGGTCAGGAGCACGAGGTGTGTGGTGGTGTCCTAGTACTCCACCCCGGGGCTGAACCTCCTGGCCTGACCCTCACCCACAACACTTATCAGAGTCATGAAGGAGCATTGCTGGAGTCAGGAGAGTAGTTATATGAAGATGTAGCAGTATTAAATTACTTAAATATGGCGCCGGGAGTGTGGTGCCATCTTGCGGCTGAGAAAGACGCATGCGTCCCCGCCAGCCACTGCGTCGCAGTCTGCCATATTGTTTTACCTCGTAGGATACTCCCCGCTCCACTTTTTCACAATGGGACGCAAAAAGAAGAAGCAAACGAAGCCGTGGTGTTGGTAAGTGCAAAGGGAAGGTCGCGAAGAAGGCCAGGGAGGAAGTGTAGGCCTGGAATTGTGTGAATTGTGGCAGTGGTCGGGGATGGATGGGGTTCGACGGGGGGGCCTCTCCTCGAGCCGATCGATGGTCGGATCCATCTAATATTTTGGGTCCTAGGCTTCTAGTGCTTCCCGATGATTACTATAGATATAGTTCATAGATTCTAGACCATCAAGAATATTGGGGCTACCCACAGAATGTCAAATATAAGGTGTGGTCCATATTTTACGGGAGTCGCAGTGGGTCGAGGCTCGCTGAGCTATTTTTGTTCACTGGATATGCTGGTCACGGCTCACCCTCCACCACCACTCTCTTATTGCTCTTCTCTGCCACTATGTACTATAATTCCCGGCTAATTCGTCTTCTCCCGGCTAATTCCTTCTCTTCTCGCCCATTTAATATGTTGTAGGTAGTTTTAATATCTAGTTGCTACCTGTGAGAAGTGGTCTCTTCTGCAAATGAATTCTTTAAAAGGAGATTAAATATATAAAGCAGATAGGCTTATTTCCAAAGTATAATTTTCATTTTAGCGGTTTAATGGTAGGTAGGTCATCATTTTTTTTCCAGATATAAATTTCCAAATTTCTAGGTTTTATTTCTTGTGCCGATTTTTTTTTTTTTGTTAAGTTTATTCAGATATACACAAATACAGTTACATACATTACCATATATAGCAGCGTGTGTAGACAACCTGGGATAACCCAAAAAAAGCCATTGACTTATTTCCAATGGGGTCCATAATTATTGAAGCAAGTTTATTTAGGTACAGGTACACAAATTATCATACCTAGTAACGTGTAAATTACCTAGGATAACCCCTCCCTCCTCTAAAAATCGGTGACTTGTTTCCATTGGTGGTAGACTAATGCAATGAACCCCTGGAGTTGACCTGGAAGTATAATCCAGGATAACTTAATGCCAGTGTAGCAGATTTTCACTGGATTATTTGGTCCTTTTTTACCCCAGGATACAAGTAATAATAGTTAACTAATTTGTATCTTACTGCTAGGTGAACAGGGTTAGTAAGTATATTTATTGAAGTACAGGTCCACATAAATGTAATTATCATACATAATATGTAAATTACCTAGGATAACCCCCCAAAAAGTTAAATACAGTGACTTGTTTCCATTGAGGTCCTTGTTATTACCATTGAGGCTAATGTAAAGAGACTTCCTCTTTCACCTCGCCTCATCTAGTACATGCAGGCCCTGTGTTACGGTGCTTCGCTTTCCAGTGTTTCACTAATACAGCGATTGTTCAATTATAACTATTCTTCATTTATTCAGACTTTCTACAATAAATATACATGTATTCCCCACCTAAGCTACGATGAAAACATTTTAATGTAAGTAATGTACGTATATGCATTTTTAAGGCCTAGCTATATTGCTCACCTGATATATGATAGTGTAAACATATTATCAGGCTTTTAAGTATATTTTCAAGTAAAAAAATGGTGTGATTCACTTTTTGGTTGTGAGCCAAATACTGCACCAAAACAACAAAAAAATATACTTGGTGTATCCTTATTAGCTAGAAAGAATTTTCTATTGTATGAAATCCTGAAAGATGCCTTTTGTAGTGCCAGGCAAACACTGCGACTTTTCAAGGTGCTGACATTAGCTAGTTATCCAGGTGGCAGGTTTGGTTATTTGTTCAAATATAATAAAATATAGCCATGAGTTATCCAACAACATAATAAGTTTAGATTAGGTTAGTGCTTGGTGATAGTTTTACTGAATGTATTCATGGGAGAACTTTATTTTTTAAACATTCCACTATTTCATCACAGTAATAATAATCATAATAGTAATATTAATGGGAACAATAGTAATAATAGTAGTAATAATAATAGTAGTAATAATAATAGTAGTAATAATAATAGTAGTAGTAATAATAGTAGTAATGGTAGTAATAATAATGGTAGTAATAATAATGGTAGTAATAATAATGGTAGTAATAATAATGGTAGTAATAATAATGGTAGTAATAATAATGGTAGTAATAATAATGGTAGTAATAATAATGGTAGTAATAATAATAGTAGTAATAATAATGGTAGTAATATGTAAAGTTAAAAGACACATATTGTCATTAATTCTACCAAAATATATACAATGGTAGTAATAATAATGATTGTGATAAGAGTAATAGGAATAGTAATAATGGTGGTAGTAATAATTGTAATAATAATGGTAGCAATAATAGTAATACAGTGGAACCCTGAGTTTCGTACTTAATCCGTTCCAGGAGCTAGGACTAAAGTCAAAATGTTCCAAAGCCGAAGCAATATTTTCCATAAGAAATAATGTAAATCCAATTAATCTGTTCCAGACCCACAAAAATATTCACAAAAAATACATTATTTAAAGAATAACTAGTTTTACATACAACACACACAAATACATATACATGTAGTACTTAAATTAGTAATACAATAGATAAATTAATGCATACCACTCAAGTATTTTGTACTATTTCTTCACATCTATGGTGTTTCTCACTTTCTTTACCAAAGGGGTACCACTAGCAAGTTTCTTTGGGCCCATGGTGACTTATTTCACAGTCGCACTCGATAAAGAAACACCAAACACAATGAATTAATGGTGAAATGTTTGGATGAGCACGCAGGGTAATGTTCACTCAAAGATAAACAAGGTCAGACTGACACGACGCCTGCACAGGGAGGTGTGCAGGTGCGGGCAGGCGGACAGGTCTGGTACGTGGGACGAAACATGGGGCACATTACGGAACTCGGGACAAAATTGAGCCAAAAAACGGTTCTAAACTCCAAGCGTACAAAAGTCAGGGCATACGAAAGTCGGGGTTCCACTGTAGTATAATATACTAGTAATAGTAATATATGGTGGACCCTCGGTTTTCGTGTTTAATCCATTCCAGAACCATCGGCCAAAACTGAATCTATTTTACCCATAAGAAATAATGTAAATGGAATTAATCCGTTTGACACCCAGAAGTATTGACCCAAAAAATTTTGTTTTTACCTTAAATATAGTTACATGCACAAAAGAATGAATACTACACATGACACTTACCTTTATTGATGATTGTTGTTGCTGGAAGGAAGACAGGGAGGTGGGGAGAGGGAAGAGAGATTGTTTGGAAGGGGAATCCCCCCTGTAAGGACTCTAGGTACCAAGTCCTTATCTGGGGTCACTTCCCTCCTATGTTTTTTAATGCCACTAGGACCAGCTTGAGAGTCACTGGACTCCTGTTACACAAAATATCTGTCCAGATAGGTCTGTTTCTGGCATGTCTTTAAGATTTGCCTGAAATGGGACATGGCATTGTCATTGTAAGTCACCAGCACAGATTGCAACAGATTTCTCAGGGTGATGTTCCGCCACAAATGAATGCACTTTAGTCCACATTGCACAAATGTTAATCTTTGAAGAAGGCACATTCTTCCATCTCTCTTCCTCCTCCTCTGAAGCAATTTCCTCAGCTGTGGTTTGTTGCTGTTGCAGATGAAGCTCTTGCAGCTCATCAATGGTTAGCTCCTCATTGTAGTCCTCCACCAACTCTTCCACATCATTGCCACTCACATCCAACCCCATGGAATTCCCCAATGCCACAATTGATTGCACAACAGGTGTAGGGTCGACAGGGTCAGCCTCAAACCCTTCACAATTCTTATTTGGGACACAATCTGGCCACAGTTTTCCCCAAGTCGAGTTCATCGTCCTGGAAGTAACTCCCTGCCAAGCCTTAACTATAAGGCCTGTGCATTGGAAGGTATTGAAGCGATTCTTCCAGAACTCTCTTAGGGTCAATTCAAAGTCTGAGGTTATGTCAAAGCACCTTTGAAACATTGCTTTGGTGTACAGTTTTTTGAAGTTTGCAGTGATCTGCTGGTCCATGGGCTAGATGAGAGGAGTGGTGTTAGGAGGCAAGAACTTCACTGTTACAAAACTGAATTCCTTAGACAATTGGTCTTTCAAGTCTGGAGGATGAGCAGGAGCATTGTCCATTAACAGGAGGCATTGGAGTGGCAATTTATTATCCAAGAGGTATTTCTTCACACTCGGGCCAAACACTTCATCGAACCATTCCAGGAAAATTTCCCTAGTGACCCACGCCCTATTAGTTAGCCTTCCACTTCACACAGTTTACTCTTGACAACACTGTTTTTTCTTGAACACACTGGGATTTTCAGAGTGATACACGAGTAAAGGCTTCACTTTGAAATCCCCACTAGCATTACCACACAACGAGAGGTAGCCTGTCTTTCATAGGTTTGTCCTGGGAGTGCCTTTTCCTCCTGCATAATGTAGGCCCTCTTTGGCATTTTCTTCCAAAACAGGCCTGTTTCATAACAATTGAATGCTTGTTGGGGTTGGAATTTTTCAGCCTCTACAAAACATTTGAATTCCTGCATGAATTTTTCAGCCGCTTGTTTGTCAGAACTAGCACCCTCACCATGCCTTACAACACTATGTATGCCACTTCGCTTCTTGAATTTCTCAAACCAGCCTTTGCTGGCATTAAATTTGCCTACATCAGCACTTGTTTCAGGCAGAGTCTTTGAGATTGTCATGCAACTGCCTTGGCTTTTCACAAATTATAGACTGCACAACACTGTCTCCTGCTCACTCTTTCTCTCTGATCCACACCAACAACAATTTCTTCACTTCTTTAGTTGTTTGGGGTCTCTGTTTGGTTATCGCATTCACCCCTTTTGCAACATCAACTTGCATGATTTCTTTTCTCTTTGCCACAATGGAGCTGATTGTTGATGGCAATTTCCCATACATCCTACCAAGTTCAACAATGCATATGCCACTGTCACATTTTCTTAGGATTTCTTTTTTCCATTCTATGGTGTTCCTCACTTTACCAAACTTTACTAAAGCACTGGCACTAGGAGCTTTCTTTGGGGCCATGGTCACTTATTAGCAGTCACACACAATAAACAAGTGGCAAAATCAATGGATTA